TTCATGTGGCATCTTCATATGTTGATCTTCTTCATCAGAAATCTTTTTAGGGGATTTTTTCATCACCTAGTTTAGTTTAACAATTTTTTGTCAGAATTTGGACTTTTATCCAGAAATCTGATTTTTGGGAATTTCTTTCTCACAACTCTCAGAATGTTTTGGTTTTTCAGCCTCATAAAAACAATGACTTGAACCTGACATGTTCCTGCAGGCAGTAAAATCTCCTTCTGCTTTACTTGCTTCTCATTGAATCTGGTTGCTGCCTTAATGTCAACATTCTGAGTGAAAAGTCATCTTTCGTTTTGTATTTTATTGGCCCTAATCCTCTTCCGTAGTTTCTGTCCAGGTGTTGATGAGTCAAACGTAAAACTGTTAATTTCTGTGCACCTTTTTCCTGACTTTTTTCTTTTAGGTATGATATATTTTGTGACATTTCTGCAAACTGGCTTTAGCTAAAATACCCAAATATGAGAAAAATTCAACTAGAAGAGCTTAGATTATTATTCACTATAAATGATATTAGCTCTGAACCCAAGAAGTCTGAATGCCGAAACTCATAAAACCTGGATTTTCAACAGGACTGTAGCTTCTCAATGGAGGATCGCTGTAGTAATCTTGTTTTATTCTACTATCCTTATCTGGATCATGGAATCAGAGTATTAGAAGTGGGCCGAGTACACAGCCTGCTGGGACGCCTCCTAAATCTTAAAACTAGATCAAAACAGGAGTGTTAGCCTCAGTCTTGGTTGTTTTTCATAAGAAGCAGAATTTAAGCTTGAGGGACGAGCCGATCCTCTGATCTCTGGGATTCATTGTGTCAGAATTTTAATATGAATTTATCGGTATTTATTTCAGTATGCTTTACATTAACTCCAACCAGTGGTGGGCACTGCTGAATGGAAACTTAGTTCTGCTAACAGTAAAGCACTTCAGAAACAGTATCCAGCTCAATCTGATGCTAAAGCATCAGATGCTAAAGCATCAGATTGAGCTTTACTGATGCTCAATCAGTAAATTGATTGAGCATCAATCAATTTATCTATTGATCGAAATTTATCTATTTCGTTTAGCAGATGTCGTGTGCTAAATGTTTTCAAAGTTGGGAAAAGCGCTAAGCTAAAAATGAGCTCTGCTATTAGCATTAGCAGGTTAGCGGCTGTGTGCCCATCACTGGCTCTGAGATTTTTATGGAAGTGATTCCTCTGTAGAACCAGGGATCTTTGTAAGAGTTTTAAGAAATGAAATGTCCATTAAATCAAATATTAAAGTTTACAACATTTTGGACTGAGTAAATGTACCTTTAAAGGTGTAATCTGAAGATGTTTCTGCTGAGAGGAAGTTTTGAAGATGAACTGAAATAAACATGCTGGAGAAAATAGCAGGTTGTTTTTTGTTGAAACTTAGTGGAATGAATTAAAATTTCTACTTCATATGCTCAAATATTTCAGATTTTATTTGTTGTCAGTCTTCAGTCACAGACAGGATGTTTCTGAGTGAATAAAATATTTGTAGATGTGATGAAATAAAGCACAGATCCAGATGGGAAACTCATTTTATTCATGGTTTAAACTGATTTTTTACAACAAACATGAAAACATTTACGGCTGATCGCAGTCAGAATCCGTCAACATTCTTGTGGGTTATATCATTCCCACCCCTTTAACAACTGGAAACTAGCGCCACCTGCTGCCTGCAGAGCTCATGGCTGTTTTTATTGATGTGGTTTCTTTAAAACACAACAAGCACCAATAAATCAGCTTCATTCTGTTCAGCCGGTCCTCAGTCTGGAGCAGCACCTTCTTCCTCTGAACAACTTCAACCAACCTCCGTCTCTTCCTCCACCCACGCTTCTATTTCCAGCTTCCTATTGCTACACAACTTATGTCTCCAACTTCAACTTTCAGACAAAGAATCATTCTCTGAACCTTTTCCAGCCCGGCTCGCCTCAGAAGGACTCGGACAGGAAGTCTTGCTTCTGTTTCACCTAAACCGGTAAAAACGCTCTGGCGATTCAATCGGCCCGTTTCTTCCGAACACCGCCGACACGCTCCGGACGATGCCTCGGACGCCCGCCATGCTCTTCCTCAGCGCCCGCGTCTCCCTGACCAGGTCGACCAGCCGGTGGAACACCAGCAGCACGCCGTGGTACGTCTCCGCCGCCGACACTTCGAAGAAGCCGCAGCGCTCCGTCATAGCCAGCAGGTGGCCCTCCTCGCCAGAGACGCTGCGGCGGTGCCGCAGGTCCCGTTTGTTTCCCACGATGACGACAGGCGTCGTCGACATCTTCCTGCTGCGGCGGATCAGCTGCAGCTGCTGGCGGACCACCTGGAAGCTGGCGCGGTCACAGATGTCGTAGACCAGGACCATCCCGTCAGCCCACTGCAGCTGCTTGTCACTAATGGAGCAGCTTTTCCCGCCTGCCTGAAGAGAAACCAGACTTTTGTCCAAACTGAATATTTCTGGCTGCGTTTCTGTCAGCCATAGAACTGCAGAAATGAAATGTGAAAATACATTTGCTTAATGGAATTTCAAAACGCAAGTTGTTGTGCAGGAAAGAGGTGATTTTTCAGGCATAAAAAAACATGAACAGCTGGACATTACTACTGGCGGAAACAACAAAGAAGATGACAGGAAGTCGTCTTCTTCCTGGTTTGTAGTTTGTTTTTCTGGACAAAGTCTCAGAAAAACACAGGACATAAAAAGTCCTGTCATTCAAACATTTTGAATCCATAGCTCTTCTGTAAAACAGCCCACTACAATTTCATGCCCTAGTAGGCGGGGCTTGTCACTTCTCTTCTGATAGGTTGATAGATAATGAGCATTTGTGCCACAGCTGAATTATGAATTATGCCAGGATCTTTAAAAAGTTATTCTGTTTTGAAAGCTTATTCACACACAATTTTAATTTCATTTCCTATTTAAAGGAAACACCAGAATCACAAATGTGTTTTTCGACATCAGCAAAACATAGAGAAAGATTTGTACGCATTTGTAATGGAAATGTGTTCAAATCACAATAGTTATGGCTCCAGATTAAGATATCGTAATGCAGGTAAGACACTGATTATTTATGTTGCTTTCAGCAAGGCCGTACCTGTGAGTCCCAGATGTTGATGCAGATTTCCTGACCATCGACTCGGTCCACTCGGCTGTAAATCGACTCTAAGAGCAGGAAGCAGATTAAGACGCGTTTACATGATCATAAATAAACCCAGAAATGGATTGAAAACAGCCTGGATGTGAACTGGTGCTGAACATCAGCTGAAGGTCTCACCGATGTCGCCGTACTCTCCGATGAACCGTCTGGTTAGAAATCTGACGGTTAGAGCTGAAAAAACAGTTTAACATTAAAATGATAAAAACACTTCAGTCTCAGGTTTGGAACAAATCCAACAGTAAAAGATCTTTTAACCCTTGAACTGTTGTTCATGGAAGACGTCCCTGAACTTTCCCCAGTAACAGAAGCACAGATGACGGTTTCCTCACCGGTTTTGCCCACGCTGTGCGCCCCCAGCAGCAGGATTGGCCTCCACCCTCTGCTGGTTCACCTCCACCACCATCAGGAATCGGATCTGGATCTGGTTTGTCTGGGAACGTAAATGACGTGCAGCTCCGGCTGCAGGTCGGCTCCTCTTATACAGCGGCGGGGGCGTGGCCTCGGCCTGGAGCCGCTCTGATTGGTGGACTGGGCTTGTCTGATGTCTGAGTGGAGGATGTTTGGTCCTTTAGATGTTGAGATGAAGCCACTGGGTGGAGTTTTAGGTCTGTGAGCACCGCCCTGCTGTGTGTCTCATTTGTTTTTCACATATTTCTGCTGCGCAGTGGAAATCAGTGGCTGTTTGTTTCTGCATTGAATGATATAAAATAACAGTTTCCAACTCAGCTTTGGTTGAGTGAGCAGTGAAGATTGCAGTTAGATGCAATAAATAAAAATCTGTCTGGGTTAAACCAACATCTTCAAATTAATAAATTATCATTTAAAAAAATTGTCACTAAATTTTTTTCCAGCCCTGGTTTCACTGCGCTGCCCTCTGGTGACTCAACTTGAGAACTGCAGTTTGCTGAATTTATTTCCTGGTTTTCCAGTGAAGCTGGTCGGTTATTCTAGCTTTCACATGTATAAAGCCATTCCTGAATGTTTGATGGCGTCTATAAACAGATTCTGTTGGTCAGTTTGATGAACAGAACTGATGGGTGTGAGATGAGACAGCTCTCTGCTGCCCTCTGTTGGCAGAACTCAAGTCTCATCATGATTGTTTCTGTTCTCAAGCTAAACAATCAGCAGTCAGACTGAGCATCAGTCAGTTTTTAACCTGGTCTGGTTTCTGTGAAGAGAGCAGAATGCTCTCCAGTAAATGTTCGATTCCCCTCTGGTGTACGCGGGCGGTGCTGTTGGTAAAGTTACTGCCAAAAAAGCAGCAATAATTTGGGTTTTTCAGCATGTCAGAATAATTTAAAAATGTGGGCACGTTCAACCTCAATATTTAACTTGCTAACTAGTTAGAAGTTAAACCTCACCAACTAAATTGAGCTTAACTTTAATCTGAAGCTAAATATTAAGCTTAACTATTTAGTACATTTTAGTTTAAATCAAATATTTAGGTATCCAACTAAATATTTAGTCTGGAAACAACACACTTAGCATGCTAACGTATGTAGCTTAGAGATGCAGGAGGAAATGGAGGCTGCTGTTCACACTTCCTACAATCTCAACTGAACTACATCAATGTTGCTGTGGTTACAGTCTGAAAGCTGTCCTACCACTTCCAGACTGGTTTCAACTTCCAGACTGGTTTCAACTTCCAGATTGGTTTCAACTTCCAGGCTGGTTTCAACTTCCAGACTGGTTTCTCCGTATTAAGGAGAATAATATCTGAAATAATCTCTTTATGCCGCAGAGTCAAAGGTGGAAAGATGTTCACAGTGACTTCATTTCACTTCTCCACATCGACGGACTGCAGATATACATGAAACAGAAATGCTTCTATGAGGTGCAGCTGTACCAACAAATATTTTATTCTTCAACTAAAGTTTTGGCTTTTTAAGGCAGTTTTAATACTTTACTGGATCCGTATAAATGGATCGTCACAATCAGCTCAGTCTGATTCATCAGCAAACATTTCTACTGAAAAACACTTTCAATCTAAATGTGTACAAAATAATTTCAGAACAGAAAAATAAACAAACTTTTGGTTTAAAGTTGTTAGTTTGAATATTAGTTTCATAGTTTACTCCCTGAGAGAAGCTGTGAAGTTTCACATATAAATAACTAACTGATCTGCAAACAGAGCAAACCTAAAGGCACTCAGAACCCGACCCGCATCGCCAGAGCGGTTCGGTTCCACTCAAAACCAGTTACTCAGAAACGTTGCTGGGGCTGGCCCAGTAAGCAGAACTTGCAGAATATCAGATGATGGATAAGTTCAATTTTTCACATCTGATGCTTCTGGTCTTCAGGATTTACGTTCTTTGGCCTCTTGGCTGCAGCCGGACCCTTCAGCAGGTCCTTCAGTCTCTTCTTCAGAACCTTCACTTGTGAATCGGACAGCAAGTTCTCCCCCGGATGCAAGGGGGCGCCGCGGCGAGGCGGGGCCGCCAGCAGAGAGGGAGGAAGTTGGGATCCCAGCGTTTCCACCAGCCTCTTCTGGAAGCTCTGCTGCAGCTCCAGTAGAGCGTCGTCCTGGAAATGGCAGAGACAGGCCATCAGACCTACAGAACCCGACGGTCCAGTCCGCTGGACCCACAAAGGTTCTGCTGTCAGCATGTTTATCTGCTCTGAAGCTGCAGCTCGTCGTTCGTACCTGTGAGGCGTCGCTGAACAAACCCCAGAGGTCCGAGACGACCTGCGCAGGCGTTTGATAAGGAGGGGAGAGATGGTGGCTCAGACGCTCCGATACGAGCATGAGGTCAGACCAGAGGTCCAACTGAAACAACAGCAGAGACAACGAGTCCGTACAGCGCCATCTGCAGGTCGGGCTTAGATAAAATCCAGAACCTCTGGCTGAAAACATCCCGACTGTTTTCATGCAAGGTTTATTTTCTTACACTTATTCATGTTGAATAAAGGCTTCCGAGTCAAAGTTCATCCGCTTGATGGGGAATTTCAATGAACGTAAAAACATTAAGAAAAAATAAATAGTTTGTGTTGAACCTCAAGGTTTTTATTTAAAAAGATTTACATGTCTGAGTTCCAACGTCGTCTTCTGCGCCTGAACTCAATGTAATAGCGCTGAAGAACCAACTTAACTATGGTCCTTCATGATCCGGAAAAAAATATATAAATAAATAAATAAATAACCTACATGTATATAGTTTTTTTCTGTTTTGAAAAAGAAAAATACAAGATTTGAAATTTTCTCGAAAGTAGAATATTTTTAATGTGTTTCAGCCATGAAGAGGTTAAAACATGAATAAAATACAATTTTTAAAAATGATTATTTCACCAAGGACACTGGAGGTCCGGTTGTAACCGACAGGCACCAGAACTGACCTGAGAGAAGTGTCTGCAGCCTTTGACCTTCAGGTGCAGCAGGAGAGTCTCACATCTCTGAAACACACAGAACCGGGTTTAAACAACCAGAACCCAACCTGATCGGGGCACATGACCCCCCCGCCGTGAAGTCTACAGGGTTCTGACCCGCTGGTCATGCAGGCTGAGGGAAGAACCGTGTGGACTCTTGGGTCTGTCGGAGCTGTAGGGGTCCGACAGGTCTGACAGGTCCTGACAGAGCGAGCAGACCAGCTCTGACCTGCAAGACAGAGATCAGGGAAAACCTTTGAGAGTCAACAACAACATGGAACTCCGCCCATCTGGACCCGACCCAGTTCTTGACAGACCCATCTATCAAGAACTTTCTTATTCAGTGGTGGGCACACTTCACTAACCCGCTAATGCGCTAATACCAAAGCTAATCGTTCATTTGCTGTGTTAGCATTTTTGCTAACTTTTAAAACTCTTAGCCCATTTAGCTTCCCCTAAATTAATTTTTCCAGATAACTTCTAAAGTGCTGATTTACCCAACAACATCCAACGGTAAAACTGAAACCTGGTGAGTCGTCTGCTGCTGACAATCACTTCCTGAAGCAAAAACCACAGATGTGGGTGCAGTGAGTCTCACACCCTGCTCTCCCTCAGTTTTCACCAAAAATATTTACATTGCTGACATCATAACTGGATTATGATGGGAGTTTCTTACTGTTACTTTCTTTTTCCACTTCCAAGCTGAACCAGGGCAAGACGCTCCTGGCCGACGCCACAAACGCAAACGACTCCAATCGACAGAAGCAAAGGTTAATATTCTGCAGAGGAATATGGAGACCAACCCAGATTCAACTCTACAAATGCTCAAAACCATGACCAGTTTTAGATAAACGCTGCCTGTGGAAATGAAACAACTCTTCCTGAAATCCAGGGAGAGATGGTACGCTCCGCACAGAGCAGCTCAGCCTGGTGGCTCCGGCTGCCAAGCCGAAACAAAAGTCTCACACTGCAGATCCTGTGAGACGACCAACAGGGAGAACTCCTCGCCTGGACGACTCAGCCTGGCCGGCTCTGAACCAAAACCCACATTCAGCTTCAACCACCAAAGAGAAATAATCAAGCAGCTGGAACTGAAGAAGCGACCAGCCCAAAACACTGACTGTGGAAATCCCACTGAAAAACTGACTTTCTGCACTTCAGTCTGAGCCTGTCTGAGGGAAACCTCACCTTCAAACGTCAACCAACACACCCAGCCCAAACTGAACACCATGAAACAGAAAAGTATGATAAAAGCGCTAATTGTTGGAGATAAAGTAAATGGAATCAGTCGCTGTTGCAATGCCAAGAAAACGAGCCTGATTTCTTCTGCACCTGATGTAACTCAGTCCTCTGTGTCCACTCATCAGCCAGATATTGGTCACTCCAGGCTGGACATGACAAACAACTGGCTGATTAAAACCTGTCCTGCCGTCTCAGCGATGACCTCTGGATCTATTGGCAGCTCTTTCAGCTCTTTGGACGAGGCGAGAGCCTCTTCATGAACATGGGATAAATCTACTCACTGAAAACACCGAGTGCCTTTAAATCTAGACTAGAAACTCAGATGCCTTTGAAACGTTATTGATTAATGATGAATGATGGCACTTGATTAAATGTAATGTTTCGAATCTTGATTCTGTTGCATGACTTTGTGTTTTGTGTGTTTTTAAATCTCTTTGAAAGAATGCCTTATTGCTGAAATATGCAATGCAAAAAAACTCGATAGATTGATAATAATAAATTTAAACCAGACGAGGGCGACGATGTTGGAGCTCATGGTGGTGAGATGACTTACTTACTGTAGCTTCTGATGATACCTTGTTGCTGTAGCTGTTTAGAGTTAGCCTTTGCTAAATACTGTGTGTACATAACTGTTTAGCATTAGTGGAACTAACATTTATGTTTAGTGCTAGCGCAATGAGCTGTGCAGTTAGTTTTGACCATCACTGATTAAATACTAAAGCTTTTAAGGAAGTTCTCACTCGCTGTTTTCAGGGTTCAGCGTTGACCCCGGGGTCACAGATGTTGCAGAAAGCTTTATTGGACTTTTATGACGTCCTCTTCTTCAGCCCAGATGCTACATCTGAACCAGGCTCCAGATAGAGATCCAGTGGCTCACTGCAGGGATGGCTGCTCAGACTTTTTTCTTAAATCACCAAATAGTTTCTAGGATTATAGATCTGCAGATGACGTACGCTACGTCTAAATTGCACCAAGAAACTCAAGATCAGCTCCATCAGCAGATGAAGGTAAGTCCTACCAGATGTCCGGTCCAAACGGAGGGACGTGGCAGTCTCTGTGGTACCCCCGACCGCAGACGGTGCAGATCTTTGATGCACTGGATGCTCCACAAGCAGCACAGGAAATGACCTCCAGGGACAGTGGAGACTCTGTAGAGTGAAGAATGGTGAAGTCTTCGGTGACATCAGAGTCGTGGTCAGTGATGATTTCTGAGATGTCCTCATTGCTGGACTGTGGGACAGCAGAACAACAAACATAACAGGACCTGATCTGAGCAGATACTGTCGTTTGAGTCCATTACGATGTCGAACCAACCTGATCGTTCTCCTCCATCTCCTGCAGGTACAGCTCGTCCTGCTTCTCTCCAAGGATGAAATGGTAGCGAGGCAGGAGCCGTCCATGTCCGGGTAGGGACAGGGGAAGTCTCAGCAGAGACACGGTGGGCTGCCAGCGGAGCTGACTGTAGTCCTGCTGTTCAGTCCTAATGCTCTGCAAGTCTTCATCGTCACTATCAGATGTTTCAGAGGAAGACAGTTTGAGTCCCAGTTCAGGTACTTCAGACAAGGCAGTGGACATCCTGTCCTCTGACGCTGCCGGTGAAGCTGGTTCATCAAAGATGTCCCTTTCTATAAATGTAAATGTTTTCGCTTTGGACTCGTCCCCGGGAGGTTTGGGCTCAACGATACTGATCTCGTCATCTGAACCTCCAACAGTAACTGGAGGAAGAACCGACTGGACGTCCTCAACGCTGGGTGGAACCTCATACACGTCAGGCAACGACTCGTCGTCTGACAGCACCACAATGAGGTCCTGGTCCGAAGCTCCAGTCCTGGTTGGGTCAGATGATCTGCACTCTGATGGTGGATCAACTCCAGCTGAAGAACCTTGTTCCAGTCTGTTTGGTTTCTTTCGTTTGCCCGTCTGCCTTGAAGCAGGATTCTGCTGCTGGTCTTTCAAGGCAGAGGAAGGACGTCCCACCTCGGAGATGAGACATTCTAGGAGCTGCAGGTTGTTGGATTCAGGAAGGTTCTGGAGCTCTGGACTCCACCAGACAGACGGGTCATTCCCTGGAAGAGTTTGAGGACCGGCCGAGACGGCAGAGGGGGAACCAGAACCAATGGCAGTGGCAGGTACCATCGGCTGAATGTTGGCAGGCGAAGCTGCTGTGGAATCCACCTTAGGGAAGACCAGATTGGTGGATGAGAACGGAGGAACGGAGGGCGAAGACTCCACGCCTCCAGCCTGGCGGTTGAGTTTTCCGACTGGACTGCCAGGCTGGTTCTGAATCCTCTGAAGCTGCTGTTTCCCAGAGAGTGACCTCTTTCTTTTTGGAGAACTGGGTAGCAAAGAGCTGCTGGACTTGGAAGACTTAGAGTTCTTCTTCTTCATCCACTGAAACTTGACAAACAGTTTATCTGAGCTGGACTCCAGCTGGGACTTGGTCAGAACATTGATCCTGACCGCAGAATCCTGACCTCTGGAGGGCCCCATGTCCCGTTTCCCAGGAGGCTTTGCTCCTTCAGATCGGTCTGCCACCCTTTCAGGACCTTTGGTGGTGGTTGTTTGGAGCTGAACGTCTGATGTCAACGAGGAAGAGGAGCAACTGGATGAACTCTGACCATGAACCGGACCTGAGGAAGGAGGAGACGGACTGGCCGGAGACGGACTGGCCGGAGACGGACTGGCCGGAGACGGACTGGCCGGAGACGAAGAGGACGACTGACTGAGGAGGCTCCAGAGGAACGGGTTTCTGGCCTCAATGTCCTGAGCGGCTCTGAACTTAACAGGCGCAGGAACAGGAAGTGAAGTCGAAGCCACAGGAGGACTTGAGGCAGAAGCATGAACAGGAAGTGAGGCAGAAGCAGGAACTGAGGTAAAAACAGGAACAGGAAGTGAGGTGGAAGCAAGAACAGGAAGTGATGTCGAGCCAGGAACAGAAAGTGAGGTGGAAGCAGGAACAGGAAGTGAGGTGGAAGCAGAAACAGGAAGTGAGGTGGAAGCAGAAACAGGAAGTGAGGTGGAAGCAGGAACTGAGGTAAAAGCAGGAACAGGAAGTGAGGTGGAAGCAGAAACAGGAAGTGAGACAGAAGCAGGAACTGAGGTAAAAACAGGAACAGGAAGTGAGGTGGAAGCAAGAACAGGAAGTGATGTCGAGCCAGACACAGGAAGTGAGGTCGAGCCAGGAACAGAAAGTGAGGTGGAAGCAGGAACAGGAAGTGAGGTGGAAGCAGGAACAGGAAGTGAGGTGGAAGCAGAAACAGAAAGTGAGGTGGAAGCAGAAACAGGAAGTGAGGTGGAAGCAGAAACAGGAAGTGAGACAGAAGCAGGAACTGAGGTAAAATCTGGAACAGAAAGTGAGGTGGAAGCAGGAAAAGGAAGTGAGGTGGAAGCAGAAACAGGAAGTGAGGTGGAAGCATGGACAGGAAGTGAGACAGAAGCAGGAACTGAGGTAAAAGCAGGAACAGAAAGTGAGGTGGAAGCAGGAACAGGAAGTGAGGTGGAAGCAGGAACAGGAAGTGAGGTGGAAGCAGAAACAGGAAGTGAGGTGGAAGCAGAAACAGGAAGTGAGGTGGAAGCAGAAACAGGAAGTGAGACAGAAGCAGGAACTGAGGTAAAATCTGGAACAGAAAGTGAGGTGGAAGCAGGAAAAGGAAGTGAGGTGGAAGCAGAAACAGGAAGTGAGGTGGAAGCATGGACAGGAAGTGAGACAGAAGCAGGAACTGAGGTAAAAGGAACAGAAAGTGAGGTGGAAGCAGGAACAGGAAGTAAGGTGGAAGCAGAAACAGGAAGTGAGGTGAAAGCATGAACAGGAAGTGAGGTGAAAGCATGAACAGGAAGTGAGGCAAAAGCGTGAACAGGAAGTGAGGCAAAAGCATGAACAGGAAGTGAAGCGAAAGCATGAACAGAAAATGAGGCTGCAGCAGAAACCGAAGTGAGGTGGAAGCATGAACAGGAACTGAGGTAAAAGTAGGAACAGGAAGTGATGTCAAGCCAGAAACAGAAAGTGATGTCGAGCCAGGAACAGAAAGTGATGTCGAGCCAGGAACAGAAAGTGAGATGGAAGCAGGAACAGGAATTGATGTGGAAGCAGGAACAGGAAGTGAGGTGGAAGAAAGAACAGGAAGTGATGTCGAGCCAGAAACAGGAAGTGAGGTGGAAGCAGGAACTGGAAATGAGTTGTTCGAAGAGGGAACCCTGGGTATCTGGGCTGGTCCCCAGGAACCACAGCTTGGGTCCAGATTACTGACGGAGGAAGACTTGAGAGGAAGAACTGCCTTATTGTTCACTATGAAGTCCATCATGGCGTCCCCAGATGAGGAAGGGTAGGGTGGAGGAGTAGAGCAGCTAATACTGACGGATGGAGCCGAGGAAGCAGCGGTACCAGACCCAGTTCTGATGAAGGTGCTGGTGGAGCCAGCTGGAGGAGCAGCAACACCAACAGAACCGCTGTTGGTAGTGGCAGTGCTGCAGGTCAAGGGTTGGCAGGTGGAGGTGGGCGGAGCAGGACGCATGGTGGAAGAGGATGGTGGACTGGAGAAGGGGATCCAGGCGACCTGGAGTTTACCTGGAATCAGAAACAACAGGTCAGAATCTCTAGACAAAACCAGGTCCGACCCACGGATTCTCTGGGCTGCTGCAGTCCAGTTCCTGAACCCGACTAATCAGAACCATCTGGACCAAAACTTCAGGTGGTTTAAGGACTTCTGTGGAAGTTTTGACTTCACTAGGACCTCATGATCCCAGAGTCTGGAGGAATGGAGTGGATCAGAACCAGAACCCACCCTGCTGAAGGATCTGGGTCACCATGTCTGCTGGTTCTGGTCCACTGGGACTCTGAAGCCAATAGCCAACGTAGCCTCTACCAGAACATTTTACAGCTTCACGGAGAATCTGGTTTCATTTTTCAGCAGGACCTGGTACCGACCCAAAGTGCAAACGGTACCAGAAACTGGTCTAATACCCCTGGGAATATTGGGCTTTATGGGCCAGCAAATGGGCCGAACCAGAACCTCAGATAATCTATGAAGTATCACCAAGGGGAAAATGAGCGACACCAGAACCAGAGATCCGAAGCAAGCTGGACTTCCAGAACTTCAACAGAACCTCTGCGCTTTGCCGCATTGATGCAGTAATTCATGCAGATGGAGTCCAGATCAGAACTGAGTCACAAACATTTCTGTCCAAAATGTTTTTATTGATCTGATTGGATATTTTTCTGTGTGAACCAGAACCAGCAGAACTGTTTCACAGTTCTGCTGGTTCTGGTTCAGTTCAATCAGAATGAATGAATCCAGAGGACATGTTTGGTTTTTATAACCTCCTGATCTAAACAACAACCAGAACTGAATCCACTGAATCTCTGCTGTTGGTTTTAAAATTATTTCTTTCTGCTTCTCATCAGACAGAAATTAAAGATCCAGACGAGCCAAATCAACCACATCCGATCCGAATCTTACCGAAATTCAGGATTCCCTCCACGGAGTTTCTGTTGGTGGTGACCTTCACGTCGATCATCTTGGAAGGAGGACGGGAGTCCTCGTCCACCAGGTCCTTCATCTGGGAGGTGATCTGCCAGGACAGGAAACGCGCCTGGTTACAGCGTCCATGTTTGAGTTTAATGACTCATTTAACTTATTAACCAACTAATTAATATCATCAACATCTCAGGTGTTGAATACAAATTAATGATGGAAAATGGAAGACTGTTCATCCAGGAATCCCTGCAGCTAGTGTGCTAACTAGCAAAGCTAAATTTTAGCTTAGCACTTTTGCTAACATTGACAACTTTTAGCACACTTAGCTTCCCCTAAATTAAGTTGTTGATTAAAGTTTCTTGGTAAGAAAAAAAAAGAAGAAAAACAGAACTGCTTTGTAAACAGATTTCAAAATAAGAGCGTGAATATAAACATCTGAATATTTGATGAATTTTTAACAGTCAATAACCAAAACTTTAACACAGACATTGAACTTTATTCAACTGAAAGTTTTCAAAACAGCCAAGTAAATTAGAGCGTCAGTATTTTAGGGGAAGCTAAGTGTGCTAAACATTTTTAAAGTGAACAAAAGCACTAAGCAGAAGATTAGCTGCTATTAGACGATTAGAGGAAGGGTGCTTCCTAATGGTGCATAACAGATTTGAATTTAATAATATTCTATGTTGTAGCACATGTTGTGTTATTGGCACATGAAGGGTATCAAGACTGTTGTAGTTAGCAATTTATCATTAGCTTCCACTAAATGTAACACTTCAGCATTAGCAAAGCTAATGTTTATGATTAGAGCTATAGGGTTAGCAAAGCTGACTTTCTAGTTAGCTTTAAAGTCAGCTTTCTGTAGCAAATATACCAACTATCAGGCTACATGACGCGGAGGAACAGAAACAAACATTTCCTGTCCTGCTGTCACAAAGCTAATCCTCAAAGTGAGGCTTTGACTGGGCCGTTGGGTTGGTCTGTGTGGCTTGGCGCGGTCAGGGAGGCGATGAGGGCGGGTCGTACCTGGGATATGCAGCCCACCAGGGTGGGCAGGTTGGTGGTGTTTCTGGCCTTTTCTGCTGCTTCAGTCAGAGAGACATGGCTCTGCTGCAGCTGCTTCACAGTCTCCATCTTCCTGCTGATCAGGTTACGTTCCACGTTGTAGACGACCTGCACACAGGAACAAAACCGTGAGGTCCAGCAGGAAGCAGCTGATTCCTGGAGGTAGAACCAGGCTGGGTGGAGTTACCTGGATCTGTCTGGTGATGTCATCAAACCTTTTCTTCAGCAGCTCTATCAGCATGTCGACGTGCTTCTGCAGCTTGGAGGTCATGAAGGACTCGCAGCGGGCCAGAACCTCCAGCCTGGACACAACAGCAGGGCTTAGCGCCGGATCAAGCCGAGTCGGGTCAGATCGGGTTAGAACCTGGAGACCTGCTAGCTCTCCGGAGGATTTTATTGGGTCAATTGAATGACATCGTCCCAGGCCTGCCGCCCTGCAGCGCCCCCTGGAGACGTCACGTCCTCCTAACTGCTCTGGACAGCAGGAGATGAGGAGGCTGCTCTTCATCCTGGGGACGGTCTCCAGGCAACCCTACCTGGCCTCCATGTCCTGCAGGCTCTTCCTGGACGCGTCCATCTGCGCTCTGAATGGCTGCATGCAGGCGTCCAGCTGCTTCTTCACACTTGCCACCGCTTTGCTGACAAAGTCGAACCTAGACAGGCCAGGGAGAGGTCAAAGGTCATGACGCACTCAGCTTCTTTTTTTCATTTTTTTTGAAAGATTGAGCATTGAAAACAGTTTAGGCCTTTCTAGTTGACTTAACAGCCGTACAGTGGAAGGCTGATCTGGGGATTATTTTTGGATTAACTCAACAGGACAGTTTTCTTTTAGCTAAAACAGCTCTTTGCAGAATATACAAGGTTTTTTAAATGCTAAATGTTATTTGTAGTTTAGTAGGTGAATGATTTCAGCCCTAAGAGGAGCATCATGCAGATCCTTCCTCCCGGCATTACTGCTGCAAACAAACCACATATTCACTCCCCTGCTGGTTTCTGCACTGCTTTTATTGTCACTAATTGTAAATAATTTGTTTTAATAATCAGTGGGCTGTTTCTTTGGACTGTTATAATAACAGCTCAGTGTTGATGAAATATTGCCCTTACTGTACAGCAGTGCTTAATTCCAGTCTGCATGTTTCAGATGAGCCTCTATTCACATGATTGCATGACCATCAGGTCCTGCAGAAGCCTTAGACTTAGACTTGTACTTTATTGATCCCTTGGGAAGACTCCCTCAGGAAATTAAAGATGTTAATCACCAAAATATTCAATCCAGGTGTGTGGCAGAAACGTGTAGGACAGGGGACGCGAGGACCAGAACTGTGTACATTGCTGTGCAGCATTTTGTTGCTTATTCTGTTTTTATGAATTTTGCAGATTCCTATCTGTGTGAATCTACTGGCTTTCATTTCCCATCACTTTGCTGCTGTTGAGGAGAAACGTATCTGCTGTGAGACATTCATGGATATTTTTGTCAGGCTGGACAATATCGGTAAAAAACATACAATGTAAGCATTTCATATCAGTAAATGTTAATTATTGATTAGTTTTTTGTTTTAAATATCTGAAATCCTGTCAAACTGGAGGCCTGATTCATCCTCAGTTTTCACTCTATGCAGTTTTTATTTTTAAGCAGTTTTGGGGCAAAACATGAAACTGTTGCTGCACAACAGTTTTATGTTGTGCAGGTTGTTGCTATGCAACCAGACCAGGGCTGAAACGATTCAATGAGTGATTCGAGTTCCTCCATTACTAAAATCCCTCCATTACTAAAATCCCTCCATTACTAAAATCCCTCGAGGAAGCTTCGTTAATTTGTTTTATAATTTAATGCGCCGTGTTCCGACCAGGTTATTACTTGCATTGCCCAGCGCCCTCACTTCACCTCTGAGTCGTTGATGAAAGCTGTTAGCAGCATTATGTCTGGTTTTCAAGTTCGGCCCATGGGGATTTTATTGATTGATATGATGTCTGGGTCTTCGTCATTTTCCTGGGGACCAATCAGTATCCTGAAGATGCCTGGACTACGGCAGCTTTTCTCCTCCCAGAGCTGCTGCCTGGTGGCGGTTCAGAGCCTGCAGGTGTAGTTAAGCAGGTGAGCGGATACACTGAGGCCGGCTGCGCATTAGATGATTCAAGCAAGTGTAGCTTTACAGACGAACCGGAAAATGTATTTCATATCATCCTGGTCTCAACAAACGGAGCACGTTGTGGCGGCACGTAGCTGGGAGATGAGTTTCTGTGTGTGATGAATGAAGGAGTTAAATCTCGTCACTAACATAAACACAAAAGCTATTAAAATTCTGGGAAAGGTCAGAGTTCATCTATTAAGTTGACTGAAGATGAATACAGAAAATAAAAGCTGGACCTTTGATCTTATAAGCGCATTTGTGAGCCTGCCTCTTTGTTATTGAATTGAATATATTTTCATATAACTTTTCTTCAGGTCAACTTAGAAAGTGAGCTGTTATTGTTACGAGTTAATTTTCTAAACTACAGAAAAATAACTGTTAAGGAAACTCAACTGTGAAAAACTGGACTGATGTTGATATACAATAGTAATTCTGCTGTTATGTTAGATTTATTATTATTTGATCCAATTACTCCATTAATCACAACAATGATCAACAGGTGTTGACAAGCTACCATGCTAGCTTAGCTAGCCATGACAGATTGAGCAACTGAAGTATTTCCTCTGCCTACATCTCCCAGAATTCTGTGCATTTCTGGACCAAAGTTCAGTGAAAATTCAATATATTGAATATTCTATCACACATACTATCAATTGATATTGATCACGTGTTTATTGAGCTAAATATTGTTATTTATTTATTGTCCAGCCTGACTCGTTTGTTGCGTTTTGGACAGAAAGACAACTCCTGGTAAGCTACTGACAGCTACTCTCCTGACAACCCAGCCTTTTCCTTCCATTCCCAGTTTGATGGAGGGTGGAGGAGCACCTGTGGCTCTGGTGGTCCGCCAGCTGGCAGTCCCTGCAGGTGAGCTGGCAGCAGCTGAAGCAGAACAGCTTCAGCTCCTCAGACGGGTGGATTCTGCAGAACTTGATGGGAAAAACCAAACTGGGTCCTGGGGAGGAAACAGAAACATCAGCAAGTCTGGAGGGAACGAGCCATAAACCAGGAGGAACCGGGCTGGCGGACCTTCAGGCTGCCGGTTCAGAACTCTGTGAGATCGGGTCAAAGTGACCCGGCGGTGCGCCGCCAGGCAGGCGTCGCACAGAGCTTCGTTGCAGTTCACACACCAGCAGGAGGCCGAGGCGCCGTCACAGGTCCCGCACTGAGGAAGAAGAGGAGGAGGAAGAGCGTCAGGTCTGGAGCCACTTCCTGTCTCTGTCCCCACTTGAACAGCAGAGATCAGAGCTTTACCTGCCGGACCTGGACATCTCCTGGGTCTCCAGCTGTCTCCATGACGAGCAGAGAGGTCTCCACCTGAGACACACCAAACATCAGTAAAATCAGCAGTGAGGCTGCATCCGCTGCAGGAGAACACGACCCAATCGAGGCTGTGACCAGAGCCGGCCCAAGACAATGTGAGCCCAGCGGCTGCTTAGGCTCCCAACGCCACCAGGGGGCCCCCAAGAGCATCATTTGATCGTACTTGAAAGTGATAGGTTGCATGTTTTGTACACAGTACATACAAAGATATTAAACTTGCTAACTTGTTAAACGTGAACTCTGTGTTTGTTTTAATATATTACCATCAAGTAGTCAGTTTGCCTCAACACTCTGCATTTCAAAATGCTAATTAATTAGAGCATCTAAGGTGAAAACCAAGAACCATAACAAACCCTGGTATGATGTAAGATAATTACATCATCAGTTGGTATGTTACACATATAATGCAAATTGGGACTGTAACTGGTGTTGACATGTTGGTCGGGATCCCCGACTGTAACTAGCAAATATTTTAGTAATTGGTTTTTCTATTATCCTGATAATCAATAAAAACACATCAAAAAAACACTATTAGCACATTTATCAATTAACCACTTAAGACATATCAATATTAGAGAGACAACAAATTAAAAGACGCAAATAAACACATAATACAATTCTTCAAAAATAATAAATGTAATAACAATAATATCATCTGTATTGCTCAAAATTGCACAATATGTCTATAAATAATTTTGCAGAATTGAAAAGAAGTCTTGTAATATTTTGTTTTCCAACTTAACGTTTTTTCCGCACAGTGAGAAACTTTCAGAGGATGAAAACACTGGACTCGGAGCAAAAATCAGATAACCCAGCTTCCCACCAGCATTTAAACGCACCACTTATGCACAAAGCTGAGGCTGACTGAAGCGTGAAATGAGTCTCAAAAATCCTCACGCATCGTAACCTGATCTGTGCGTAAATGCAGTTTTGTCTGTGTGTATCAGGCAACTTGTGTTACTTATTTAACCTTTGTGGAAGTAGGAGAAGCTCTGAATTCATAATTATCAGATTTGTGAAGTTGAAGTAAAAAAAAAAACTGTGTACAAATTTTATGTTTGTGGAAATTGTAATTGTATGTGTGTACTTTTACTTTGTATTGATCTCATTTGTACAAGTACCCAGAGTTATACTTAAGTTTTCGATTTACGGTTTACAAATCATGTGTCTCATGTAAAACTATCCAAAGTTTCACACAAAGATCCTTACAAGATTACAAATCCAGTAAGTATTTTGCACATGTATTTTGAGACAATTTTCACTCCATATTGGTGAATCTGAACCTGGTAAAGTTAAAACTGCCACCTGAAGATGTCTGGATAAATCATAGTTTCAAAAAGTAGTTTTTCATCTTAATGCAATATTGGCTTATTTATTGCTCTGAATATTGCATTTTCAGCTAAACTTTTTTGAGCCTGAATACTCCAGTTAATCAACGGATTATTAAATTAATTGACAATTATTTTAATAATGATCGATTGTGATTCATTCTTTGCAATTAATTTATACATCAAATGTCACTATTACAGCAGACTTGGGCATGAAAAACAATGCGATCTTACATTTTTCAGAGTGGGCAATGTAGATACAACACAGGAAAAAATAATACAAATAATAATAAGAAGAAACATTAAATTAATGCAGGGGAAAGTGTAGAATAAAACAGTTAGACACAAAATAACGTTCCTATTTTTACCATTTAATAACAGACCAAAAACTATTATTGTTCAGATTGAGGACAAATTATGACACACACACACACACACACACACACACACACACACACACACACACACACACACACATCCATCCATCCATCCATCCATCCATCCGCTTATCCGAGGTCGGGTCGCGCCACCTCAACTGGCTCCTCTCGATGTGGAGGAGCAGCGGCTCTACTCTGAGTTCCTCCCGGATGACGAGCTTCTCACCCCATCTCTAAGGGAGAGCCCAGCCACCCTACGGAGAAAACTCATTTCAGCCGCTTGTATCCGAGATCTCGTTCTTTCGGTCATGACCCAAAGTTCATGACCATAGATGAGGGTAGGAACGTAGATCGACCGGTAAATCGAGAGCTTCGCTTTTTGACTCAGCTCTTTCTTCACCATGACGGACCGGTACAGCGCCGCTTCACGGCGGACGCTGCGCCAATCCGCCTGCCGACCTCCCGCTCCCTTCTTCCCTGATTCGTGAACAAGATCCCGATACTTGAACTCCTCCACTTGGGGCAGGTCATCTCCCTCGACTCTATCATCTATCATTTTCCAATACAGCAATACTTGTTCATGGAAGTCTGACAAACCTTCAAACCTCAGAGGAGCAGCGAGTTCAAGCCGCAGAGCTGGATAAAGTCAGGGATGAAACTGTGATGGACCTCAACAACTTCACATTCCGTCCACAGACGGCGGCGGCCATCTTTCCCGTCATGAACGACCGCTGCTGCGCATGCGTGCTGCAAGCCGTTCACTCATAAGTCCGGTGCTGATGTGGGCCACTAAGTGGACCGAGATGTTCTCTGTAGGCCGGAACATTCTCGAATGAAACATTAGTCCATATTTGTCCAGCACCTGAAAGTAGGTCCAAACTGGGCCAACAGAACCGAGCAGGCCGGTTCCCTCCAGCAGGGGTCGCTGCTCAGTCTGAAGAACATGAGTTTTTCTGCTGGAACTGCTTGTTGTGAATCTCCTCTAACGGGACGAACACGAGCTAATTCTGGCGCCCAGAGCTACAGAACCAACCCAGCAGAACCTCTCGGGTGTTTCTGCTCTTCCTCCTCAGCAAACCTTCAGCTAACTAGCGGCAGGTTCACATTTCCCTGACATCCGGTGGAAATCTCCCTGTTTGCCGTTTATAGACATGGAGACCAGGAGCAGTTCGGCTTCTAACGGACTCACCTCCTGCTACTTCCGCCTCTCCGCGCCGCTCCGCCCGGATCCTCTGTCCACCATCTGCCGCTTCTTCCTCCCGCTGCTCCTCTCGGACCGATTCAGCTCCCACAGCTTCACGTTTAGAGTTCTGGCTCGGTTCTGATCTGACATCAGGTGGCTGAACAACAAAACTGCTGAAGGCCGACTGCGCATGCTCAGTTTTGGAGCAAGAAACCCTGAAACCAGTCCAGTCCTCAACTTCCGGTCCGGTTCTGTCCGGTTCAGACAAAAAGCTCTCATGTGGATGAAGTTAAATATTTATTTAGTATCCAAAACCGAAACAAGTTGAAGTCTCAGATTGTTTAGTAAAAATAAAGTTTCAGCCATTTATTGACATGAAATCTGACTGAGAAATTTGTCCAAGATGGTCTGTAAGGTTATTTATTTGCATCGTCTCAAATTATAAGAAGCATTTCCCAGTACAGAAAGCAAAGTTATGTACAGCCATCACTTGGCTCACTGCATTTTCTTTATGGGGTTATAAATAAAATTGCATGTGTATTCACGTTTGATCTGAACTAAAATAAAAAATAAAGTCTCGTTATGATCAATGACTTATTCAACCTACTGACGGCATTTATTTTCTATGCATGGGTTCTCAGCTGGCTGTCTATAACAGATGTTTGAAAATGGGCGGTATGATCAGTATGGAATGGATTTGTTGGAGTTCATTCATTCACCTGAACACGTTTAAGTACCTGACCAGAACCCCTCAGTGTAAATTAGCTTCAGAAATGATGAGATTTGGTGATATAAAAAACAGGCTTTAATGCCGGAAAATGATTAAACTTTACAAGCTGTACATGTCATCCAAATGGATCAGAACCAGAGTTATATTCACCGTCCAGCACCGGGCCACTGAGCCCACCTTAGGGGGACACCAAGAGTGAAGCTTTATTTTCTCCTCATTCTGCTCTCTCTCAGGTTTTGCCTTCCTTAATCTGTTATTGTTCATGTGTTACTGTCACCAGTCTGAACTGGTATGGTTATGTCAGCGTGCAGCCGTGTGCGCGTGAGCAGATAAAACAGATAGAGAAAAGACAAAGAGTCCTTTTGTCCATTACAGACTGTTCCTTATGAATCACTTGAAACATTTTTGGTCTATAAAGTTACAAGATTCATAATTTCCTTTATGAAGGACATTTTAGTTCCATTAGTCTTTTAGTTTTTCACAATGTAACATCACAGGCGTTTCTCTATTTTTTCATACGCTGTGTGTTTGTCCTTAACTTGATCTTTGTTAGCATTTTTGCTCCTCTTTACACCAAACTAACTTTTAGCGACATAAAACAGATGATTATGAGCAGCAGATGAATATATAATCACATCTCTAATTGGTCAAATCACAGACTGTCACTCGCCGCTTCGTCTTGCTACTGCTCCTCTTCCTTTCTCCCTGCTTTCCTCATGGTCTCTACTTTTCCCTGGTTTGGGTTTATTTTTATTCTTTGGACTTTATTGTTTTTTTGTAAGTTGGATTTTTAATTACATCTACATCAGAACTTTTACGTCTCCTGCCTGCTGCATTTGGGTCCACACTTCAACCACAGACATCATGACAGACGGTGGAAATGCATTGAACTTGAAAGTCACTCTGTCCACCATGGTCAGTTTGTAATTCATATATGTAAACATTTAAATAAATATAAAACTTGCTTTTCAGAAGCACAATAACTTTGTTGCAAAATAAAATGGCCACAATTGACTTTTTCCTTAAATCCTCAATTTAAAAAATAAATATATGAATATTTTTACAGCCAAAATATTTGCTTACTAAAAATCTAAGAAATAAATTTGCCTGTCGGCACCTAGTATTAACCTCCTGCAAGTCTCCATGCTAACCGCAATGCTAGCACCTTGTTAGCCTCCCTGCTGACTTCACCCTGTAGCAAATGAGTTTACTGTGAGTTTATGTGACATCTGAGTCAAGCTATATGTAACTTATATTTCATATTCATTTAGTACAAACAAAGTCTTTTTAATATCTAATCATTCTAAATATAATAATCATTACATTTTATAATATACAATTATAAAATTGTATATATATATATGTATAAAATTGCCTTCTCATTCCCTTCTTATCCTCTGAGCTCGGGTCCTCTACCAGAGGTTATATAGATCTATATATATAGATCTATATATATGGTCCTCTACCAGAGGCCTGGGAGCTTGAGGGTCCTGCAGTATCTTGTGCCAAGGACTGCTGCACATTTCTGGACTGAGATGTCTCAGTCCAGAAATCAGCCGACCAGTGATCAGCCGACCAGTCCGAATGACATCCCAATGTTAGTGCTGTATCCTGATAATTTGGACCCTTTGATGGTCTTCAGTTGAGTCCCCACAGTTAAGTCCCCACAGTTCTGACATCCGGGTTCCTCCCTTTTGCCGTAGCATTTGTGTTGTATCTCGTCAATCTCAAGTTGTGATAGCAGTTGCCGTTTGCGGATGTTGGAACACTGAGCTACTAGTTGTTTAGCGCTTAGTGTTGACTGGGGATGTCGAAGTAACCATTCCTTCCCCAGTCTTTGCATGTAACCTCTCTCACTAGGGTTACTTGAGTAGTAGCATTCCAACAGATCCACATTTTCATCTCTCGCCCATTTCCGTCTTATATATATATATATATATATATATATATATATATATATATATATATATATATATATATATATATATATATATATAGCTGACTGGATAGCTCAATACATAAGGCATCAGTATATCACCCGAGAGGGCAGGGTTCGAATCCAGTCTGGGTCCTTAGGCAAGACCCTTCAAGCTACTGCCTACCTCATACCATGAGAGATACTAAGTTGCATAACATGCCGGCTCAGACGTCGCCCGGCCAAACAAGGTCTGCGTCAGGTGTTGGGGAACCAGAGCACCTTGATGACAAATGGGCTACTGGAACAAGACGGAAATGGGCGAGAGATGAAAATGTGGATCTGTTGGAATGCTACTACTCAAGTAACCCTAGTGAGAGAGGTTACATGCAAAGACTGGGGAAGGAATGGTTACTTCGACATCCCCAGTCAACACTAAGCGCTAAACAACTAGTAGCTCAGTGTTCCAACATCCGCAACGGCAACTGCTATCACAACTTGAGATTGACGAGATACAACACAAATGCTACGGCAAAAGGGAGGAACCCGGATGTCAGGACTGTGGGGACTTAACTACAAGTCCCCACCCAGTGAGGGGATACACGGCCCCAATGAGCGAAACAGAGCTGAACGAGACAGCTGCTGACCTGAGAGAGAGAATCATGACCCGAATGACAACCAGGCCTCCCCGGCGCCAATTACAACGGCTGAGTGAAGTACCATCTGAAAGTCTCATTGAGAATGTGAATGCAGCATTGAGAACGATCCCTACCAACACCATAACAGAAACCAATGAGCTGATCTACAACTCAGCATCAGTGATCCTTGAGATACTTGGCTATAAGAGCAACCATGAGACCCAATACCCACATGGAAAAGACGGTTAGAGGCTAAAATCAAGGTAACAAGGAGGGAAGTGAGCCAACTGTCAGAGCTCCACAAGGGTGCAATGAAAAGACCAGTACCCAGAAAGTACAGGCAGATGCCCATACCTGAAGCACTCGAGACTGCCAAACAGAGGCTCCAAGCCTTGTCCAGCCGCCTAAAGAGATACACAAGGGAGAATGAATCCAGAAGGATTAACCGGCTCTTCTCCACTCAACCAGCTAAGGTGTACTCTCAATGGCAGGGTAACAATAACAACAGAGCAGACCCACCAAGGCTGGAGACGGAACAATACTGGAAAGGCATATGGGAAAGGGAGGCGTCCCACAACAACAATGCACAGTGGCTGATCTCTCTACGAGAGGACCACAGCAACCTCCCTGAGCAAGCCCCGGTAACCATCACTGTGACAGATGTCCAAGAAAGAGTCTCAGGTATGAAAAACTGGACAGCACCAGGGCCTGACATGATCCATGCCTACTGGCTAAAGAAACTCACTGCTCTCCATGAGCGAATGGCAGCCCAAATGAACCAGCTGCTACAAAGTGGGACTCACCCTGAATGGTTAACTGAAGGCGGACAATCCTAATCCAGAAGGATCCATCAAAGGGTCCAGTCCCACCCAACTACCGACCAATAACCTGCCTCTCCACAACCTGGAAGCTCATGTCAGGCATCATAGCGGCCAAGATAAGCAAACACATGGATAAACACATGAGCACGGCACAGAAGGGTATTGGTGTAAATACCAGAGGAGCCAAACACCAACTCCTCGTAGACCGCACAGTTGCCCGAGACTGCAAAACCCGACACACCAACCTGTGCATGGCTTGGATTGATTACAAGAAAGCCTATGACTCAATGCCGCATACTTGGATCATTGAATGCTTAGAGATGTATAACATCAACAGGACTCTGAGAGCCTTCATTGCAAACTCGATGAGGCTGTGGAAAACCACCCTTGAAGCCAACTGCAAACCACTTGCACAAGTGTCCATCAAATGTGGCATATACCAAGGAGATGCTCTGTCCCCGCTACTGTTCTGCATAGGCCTGAACCCCCTCAGCCAAGTTATCAACAAGACTGGCTACGGATACAGACTCAAAAATGGGGCCAATATCAGTCACCTACTCTACATGGATGACATCAAGCTGTACGCCAAGTGTGAGCGAGACATCGACTCACTGATCCACACCACCAGGATCTACAGCACTGACATTGGGATGTCATTCGGACTAGAGAAATGTGGTCGGCTGGTCACAAAGAGGGGGAAGGTCATCCACAGAAGGGGTCTCACTCCCAGAAGGAACAATAGCAGACATAGAGGACAGTTACAAGTACCTAGGTATACCACAAGCAAATGGCAACCTCGATGAGGTCACAAGGAAAGGAGCCACAGCTAAATACCTCCAACGAATAAGGCAAGTCCTGAGAAGCCAGCTCAATGGCAAGAACAAAATCTGTGCGATAAACAGCTATGCCTTGCCAGTAATCAGATACCCTGCTGGAATAATTAGCTGGCCAAAGGAGGAGATAAAAGCCACAGATATTAAGACCAGAAAGCTACTAACAATGCATGGAGGGTTCCATCCCAAATCCAGCACCCTGAGACTGTACACGAGCCGCAAGGAAGGAGGCAGAGGACTAGTGAGTGTGAGAACCACTGTCCAGGACGAAACAACTAAGATCCATAATACATCA